AACATGCGAAAAAAAGAAAAAATCTGGGCCCTTTACGGCTTCATTCAAGTGCCCCCGTTGCTATCCAATCATACCAGCCAGGTGTGGAGGCAATGTGAGTATAGTCTCTGGACAGGTGTTCGAGGCCTTTGACTGACTAAACTCGAAAGGAAGATCCAGGACACTATTGCTGTCTATCCTCCAAACATTATAGCGAGAGATTTTTCATTCATTCAGGTGGCAAGTACAAAAGAAGAAAAAAAAAATTAAAAAAAAAATAAAATTCCACGGTACCCCTTACTGCTGTCTTCACCTGAATTGAACGTACGGTCATCTAGACTGAAAGTTGTGCCAAGTACAGGCAGAATGACCGCACGTTTTGTTTGGGGGAAGACGGTGGTAGCGGATGCATTTGGCACCTTCTGAGTGAAGATGCGCTCACTATTTTCTCGTTTCGTGAGTTGTCTGGGAAGGCTTGGAAGGAAAGGAGGAGGAGGAGACAAAAGGAGAAAGAGGGGCTGACTTGTGGGATGAAAAGAACGCCAGCTATGCTTTGATTACTGTTGCAAGATTTCAATGGACATCCCGCCAACATTTTGACGGCAATTGATGAGAGGAAGAGAGACAGAGTTTACACATACTTCATTACCGATTGGCAAGCACCTGCTTAAACAGAATGCAAATGAAGATTTCAAATGAAAAACAACAACAACGAAAAGAAGCAAAAGACAACGTTGAACAGTTCATTTGCCTCAAACAAAGTAAACGTCCAGGATCCATCAAACAACGGAGACAATCAACTGTTCTCACACATGGATATTCAGTTCAGTTTGCAAGTACTTCGTTACCGAATCGTGAGCACAAGGATAAACAGAATGCGAATGAAGATTTCGATTGAAAAAAGAAATCCAGAAAGAATCACTGACAACGAACGTCCAACAGTTCGTTTGCCGTAAATGAAGTAAAGGTCCGGAATTCGTTAAATGACGCAGACAATCAACCATTCTTACACATGGATATTCAGTTGTTCGCGCACTAACATCACTGGGCCACATGGACATTCAGTTCTTCGCGCACTAACATCGCTCTGCACCCATGTTGACAATGAAAAACGATGGCAATGAAAAGGCTTAGTGTGGAGAGAAAACGATGGCCAAAAAAAAAAGGAAGGCAACACGAAATCCAAATGCGAATGGCTTGGCATTCGCACAACATCAACGCTTCATTTAGAGAGGCAATGTCTTGTCCTTGCACATCTTCCAACACAAACAAAAACCCTAACAAACATCTATCGCCATGTACACCAGCCTCTGCGTTGCGTGCGCAACTGCTGAACATGTCCAACGTATGACAACATTGATTGCTTCCCCCCTTCGCAAGAAGGAAGGATCAACTGTCACCTTCCATCACTCCATCGCAAAAAACGAACCAGGTCGTTCACAAGTGGTCGGCCTGCACATCCCGCCCCCATGGACGGTTAGCGTCCAACATTGAAGTGGGCCGGGTCTCTACCTGTGGCTCTCTCACTCTCTCTCTGTGTGTCTCTCTGTCTTTCTCTCCCTCTCTCTCGCTCTCCCCAAAATGTGACATGGGCTGGAGAACGCGTCCTGTCGTCAATCAGTCTCCATAGGCGCGGGTGAGACAGGGTGCGCGTCAGTAGAAGTCCTCTCCCATGAGCCCAATCTTGCCATGCAGGCCGTCACGGCCCTCCAGCGGGGGGTCCACGTGGACCCTGTACACAGCAGTCTCATCCAGCGGATCATCAAACTCCATCGTGACATTGGAGATGGCGAGGTCCACAATGTCGGCCAATACGTCCACACCTCCCTCCCAATGATTGGGGATGGCCGTCCCCACCTTCGTTGCGAAAGCAACGACCTGCGGCAGTGTGCCTCGTGCGAAGCTCAATCCCACAGTCAGACGGAGACACTTTCTCTGTCCGCATCCACCTCCCGTGTATCGTTGGTGTTCCTGCGATGATGCTTCATCTCGTAGAAGATCATGCATCGCCCGAATGATGTCCTCCTTCCTGCGCCACCAACGATACGCGTGACACGTGCAAACGGCCCTGCCATGTGCGTATTGGTGCTTGACTTCCGACATGTCCTCCTGACGTCTTCCTGCAGAATGCACCAAAAAGCTGGCCCACCCTCACCACCGTGTCAATGCAAGACCGTGAACAACTGTGGCCGCCTGCATGTGTCTCTCCTTTTACAGCCGCTGCTGGTTTCTCCACCCTCGTTGTCATCCGATCTCCACCATCGACAGCCCCTCCGATGCAGACATCCATCAATGGGTAACAACGGCAGCTCTGCAAATCACGAAAGTAAAACATTACAAGAAAAATAAAAATAAAAAGAAATGCAAGAATAAAGAAATGGGGCAAAAATACTCTATGCCTGGCGGTCCACAGAGACATGGCATTTGCATGCACCGTCATGTGTTTCGGATGATCCATGTCGGCCCTTGTGGACCTGCGGTTTGCATCGAGGACCGGGACAACGCCGACGCGATATTCAGCTGCGCATGCATCCGCTGGCCGGCATCTAGCACATCGCACTGTTTCTCCTGTGTCCTCGCCTCCGTCTCCATGATGTTGCATTGGCTTTGCAGCACCTTGCACTGCCTCTTGCTCGCGTGGTCGTGGATTCTGCCTCCATGGTTGAGTGCGTCTTCATCACGTCCATCACGTGGTCAATTGTCTTCATCACGTCCATCACCACGGTCGATGTCATAAAGCTGGCGGTCCATATTGAACTTGTACCCAGCTTTTTTGTGCTGCTTCGCTGTGAGAGTGAAGAATGACTGCAGACCCGACTCCTTTTCCCTCTCTAGCGCTTCTGATCACGTTCTCCCAGCTCTTCATGCACAACTCCCAGCTCTTCATGCACAAATCCCAATCTAGTCGAACTCCCTGCTGCTCCATCCGTCTTGCTATGTTGATCCATTTCCACTCCTTCGTATTCATGCGTGCAAAGTTGTGGCTGGCATTGGCAAGGTAGCCTTCCTGTCTCTCCTGCAGTGCATGAGAACAAGAGAGTCGTTCAAATCCCAGAGCACCCACATTCCACTACCCGCCCACCCCTCTCCTTCACCTTCACCACATCCTCTCTTCTTCTTCGACTTCAAGTGACTCTTGCTTGCTTTTTTCTTACTCCCATGGGGCGTGACTTATTTCACAACAGCATTGTCGTCCTCGGAACTGCCCCCTTCGTTGGCCTCCATGCACTCACCCTCACCAACACCCTTGCACCCCGCGGTGCCATACCCGGCCGCTTCCCCATTCCTGGTAGCGCGCACGGTTGACACCCTTGCTATGATCCTCTCGATGACTCGGGGGGATTGAGCTGTTGACGATGTCCCCGCCCTCCCCCTCGGAACTCTCACAACCACCGCTCTCCTGCCTTGTGATGGACATGTCACCATGGCTGCGGCTGCTGTGTTCGACAAGAACGGTCCTTGAACCGTCCATAATGCAGCTGGGTGAGAATGGAGATCCAGATGGAGCCATTTCCCCTCGTGCACATCGGTGAGGAGAGCGGACATGGGCCCCAGGGACCCGCTCCGTCGATCACCCCTCCCCAGTCTTGTAAGATTTCAGCGTCGATCCCCATGCAAGAGGGTGGGTGGACGGAGGCGGCTCCTAAGTGGTGTCGTTCGGCAACGGCTGCAAGTGGGGAGGGAGATGAAGAGTACAGGGCGGGGTCAAAATGGTATTGCTGCGCATCGGAGTCCCCCCTGGACGGCCCTCTCCTCCATGCCCTACTGATTCCCCATCTCCTTCCTCGCAGCACCACCCCCATGCGAGACCTTCTTCCTTGGCGGCACTCTGCCTTGCCTCGCTAACTGCCAGGCCTGCAGGAGAACAACCAGCAGCAACGCCACCAAGACAAAACTCAGAAGAGCAGTCTTCCTGAAAAGTTCTTCCATGTGCACGTGCAGATAAGACCCCACGTGTGCTTCATGCACGACAACTAGGACACCTGCCGGGCTGCAACTTGCATGGCTTGCCCTCTTCAGCAGGGACCCACCTCTCACCACGAAGTTGGCACGAACAGCTGCAGGGACTCTTGGAGATGGCTGTTAGAGGGTGCCGGACGCTGCAATGGAGAACACTGTTTGCTCACTCGCCGGGGCTGGGGGTGGAACATCTGCAATTCGAAATTCAGTCTGCCGGCAATGGAAATTCCAAGAAAATGACTGAAGTTCTGGTTATTACGGGTTCTCAAGGGTCCAGCCCTTGAGCCTCTAGTGACCTCCCGAGGCGCCCACTGGGCCGCAATTGAGTTTCAATGCTGGACCCCTGAGATGCGAAATGTGAAAAGATTTCGGACTTCAAAATCGTCGTCATTAGGGAGGGGTGGAATGATGCTTCCTTGAGAATCCTCGATTTTCAAGTGGTGTCGAAGGAGACCCTAAAGAAATGCGATGGGCTCTTTGGAGCTCCTAGGTCTGTCTGGTGCAAGGTTCAGCAGGCTCGGCAATGGCATGGTATCTTATCTTCTTTTCTGTTTGCGAAAAGTGGCTATCTGTACCCTTTCCTCTAAAGAACATGGTGAGGGATAGGGCTTTCCAGTTGTGTGCTGTCTAGAAACCTGAGACATGTAGGCAGCACATCTCTGGTTTCCACTAGAACATGTAGGCGGCATGTCTCGGATTTGTTTGTGTCCTCCCGGCTTTTCTCTGTTATTTATTGAGAATCCTGAAGAGAGTCATTGTGCAATAGAAATGCAAAAAGAAGGAAAGCAACTACACACTCCAAAGCAGAATCGGATATTGACCTTGATAACTCCATTAACTATCTCGTGGAACCGATCATGCACCTTCCCACCTGGATGTCCAGGTACATTCAGAAAAGATATAAGAGTAAATGCAGGAACCTGGGACCAAATCACTGTTGGTCAACCTAGAGTGTGTAAACACTCTGAGGCACTGTGATGCAATTCTGATTGGCAGAAAATGGTTTTGGCTGTGATGTTTTTTTTTTCTTTTTTTTCCCGTTGGATTGGTGGACTACACAGGATTGGGTCAGATCGGGGCTTGCTGCGGCTCTACTCTGGGGCTGTGTCATTGCCACACCCAGACAAGGTAGAAAAGGGTGGAGAGGATGCACACTTCATTTCCAGTGACGAACATGCGGTCGGGGTCGCTGATGGGGTAGGTGGTTGGGCAGAGGTGGGCATCGATGCAGGGGAGTATGCGCGGCAGCTGATGTGCAACTCTGTTCAGGCATTACGACAAGAGCCTCCCGGGCTTGCTGATCCAGTACGTGTCCTTGCAAGAGCACACGAACGAACAAAGGTGCAAGGCTCCTCAACAGCCTGCATAATACTGCTTCGTGACGATGTAAGTAATCCAAATCATGCACTCTCTCATACATGCTCATGGAAGTTATGATGGGCCACTACATATGTTCAAGAAGTCCCGATGCATGTAAAGGCGGGAAAAGGGGGTTTGGGGGAGGGAGGGAGAGAGAGAGAGAGAGAGAGAGAGAGAGAGAGAGAGAGAGAGAGAGAGAGAGAGAGAGAGAGAGAGAGAGAGCCCTTTGGCTTGCAGACCTCTCAGGAGAGATGTGAATTGAATGAACACCACTGGATGTCTGATTTCTGAGTCAAGGCCATCCAGTACAAACTCTTTTGCTGCCAATGGGACTCCTCTTACCAGCCTATCACATGGATTTGCATGACCACAGGGGTTCTTACGAATTGCAGCACACATTTGATGTCCAATTCCCGAGGGAACTATACAAACTCACCACAGGTTTGCATTGCATTATAGCTTTCGAAATCTATATTTTAAGAACTACGACGCATGCCGTGTTGTCGTCGCTCAGTGTCTTTCATAGCCTGATTGTAGGATGCGCAAGGAAATGTGTTCACTTCTCCACCCAACTGGCATTCACGGTCAGCGCTTCACACTCTAAATTGGAGGGATGAGGTATGTCTCAGAATGTAGGCAGGCATGTCACAGTGAATCTCATTCTGAGATGTGGTTGCTAGGTGGCATGAGCCCAGCTCTAGGGTGTATGCTTTGTTTCATTTTATGATCTGAATGAGGAAAGAGGGTTCAGACTATAGATAGCCAAGAGATAAACTAAGGGGCAGCCGGAGTTGTATAGGCATTAGGTAGCCAATAGATAGCCAAGAGATAAACTAAGGGGCAGTCGGAGTTGTATAGGCATTCAGACTATAGATAGCCAAGAGATAAACTAAGGGGCAGCCGGAGTTGTATAGGCGTTAGGTAGCGCCAATAGATAGCCAAGAGATAAACTAAGGGGCAGTCGGAGTTGCATAGGCATTAGGTAACCAATAGATAAACCAGCAATAGATAGCCAGCAGATAAAATGAGGAACAATAGGAGATTGTATAGGCATTAGATGTAGCCAATAGATAAGCCAGCAATAGATAGATCTCCAGCAATCGATAAACTAGGGAACCCAGTAGGGGATTGTACGAGTGGTAGATTTCTAAGAGCTAAATTAAGGAACAGTAGGAGATTGCTACTGCGAAATAGCTTGCAAGGAAGTCCAGATGGGCGTTTCTTTTTTTTTCACCTCCGTTTTAGGAAAAGACTTTTGAAATGTGTTGTGTGTGTGAGAAATTCCGTTTTGCTCCTGACCAATTGGTAGGCCAAACTCCATTTATAATCCTTGTGCTGTTAATATACTGTTGGGTATCCACCCACTGAATGTTCCATGAAAGCACTGGGTGGTATCCATATGTATTCTGCTTAACACAGGAGCATTGCTACAAGTAACTCCCTCTCTCACAAGCTGGTTACCTACTAACCTCTGTCGTCTCCGCTCTTGGGTACCCTTTCTGCCACGCTACCACTGCGTGCCTCTCCTAGCTCCATACGATGCACTCCTCTCTTTCCTGTTTGTCCATATTCTGCTATCAGGGACTGTGTTGCATACTAGTGAATACTTCACCAAGTATGGGCAGAACCAAAGATCAACCAATATAGGATGAGCATGTATACAGCGGAAGTCTGAGAAATGGACTGACTCACATAGACTGAACTCACCCAAACATCACTCAACACACAAGCAATCGTGGGATGGTGGGGGTCTGAAGCCATACAGAGACGATGCTTCAGGCCCGGTACAATCGTACACAGATGAATGGTGGGAGGAGAGACGATGGAGGTGGGAGATATGGACAGCGCCAGATGTCACCGAGATAGAACCCAGAAGGTCACCAATATGGTAGCCCAAAATGTCACCGAACAAAATCCGAATGTCGTGGAGATAAGTCGCCAATGTCGGAGGTACAGAATCCTAATGTAACCGATGTCCGATCTGTGATGCTGCCAGGTATCAATCCCAACTATCTCCAATGTCTCGAATCCGGTAAGTATCACAGCCTCCTACCACCGAAGTCCAATCACTGATCTCTGTCCAACTCGTATCAATAGTCTCCAGTCTCAAGAAGAAGAAGAAGAAGAAGAAGAAGAAGAAGAAGAAGTCTTAAGAAGTCTGAAGAAGAAGAAGAAGTCTGAAGAAGTCTGAAGAAGAAGAAGAAGAGAGGGGCAGAGCATTGGCGGAGAAGGCGAGTAGCTCTAGGCCCTACCTGATGGTACAAGGTGGCGCCTTGGCTGCTGCAGGAGACGGCTGTGCTGCTGGGAGCTATGGCGCTCGTGGCGGCTGTCAGGTAAGTCTCCCACCTCGCTCTCTCCTCTCCCTACAGCCAGCGCTACACCTAGCACTGCTGTCCAGCGCTGCGCTGAACCGAAATAGCGCAGCGGCCGTTCCTCAATGCTGCTGTCCTCCAAAGTCCCCGAAATGGCCGTTGGCTGGGCCTAAGTACCGGCCGGCAGTCAGTTTGGCCTCTGCCTCCCAAGGTGGCCTCCGATCTGAGCGGTCGGATCTATCGTCCGATCCGTGGTTCAGGTCGGACCAGTTTTCGGGAAGCAGGCTGCCTAAACGGCGGCCTGGTCCAAACGAAAACGTTTGGCCATTTCCCGCCCAGGGCCTGCGGCTGCAGCGCCTGGTCTAGAACCGGTTGCGTAAGGGCAAGGGGCGGCCTAATAAGGTCCGGCCTTTGGGCCGGCCTGGCCTGGATTATCGCGTCCAGGCCCTCGGAACCCCTCAGCCTAGTCGTCGGGCCTGAAAGGGCCCGTGTGGAATGCAGTATGTAACAGACTGCCTCTGGTGAGCATTGACAAAACAGGTGGAATTGGAACAACTTTGAAATCGGCTATTCTAGAGTCTTTATTTGATTTTTTAGATGCTCCTATAATGTCTTTGTCTTCACAGGATGTTCCTACTCCATATAATGTTTTTTTAGAAGATTTAACTGATACTATCTCCAATATGATAACTTCTATAAGAAACGGTAATTTAAGCAAAGCTAAGATAGTCCAAATTCCAGCGACACAAACTGCTAGAAGTATTGCGAAAATTCTTCTCGATGAAGGATTTATAGAAAATTTTCGTGAAGTTGTTATTTCTGATAAGAATTATTCTTTATTAACTTTAACATTAAAATATCAAGGACGAGCACGTGAACCATATATGCGCTTGTACATGAAAAATGTGCTTCCAATTGGTTAAAAAACCTCCAATCCATTTATGATTTATATAACTTTGACATGTTTCTTTTGCCATTTTCTGAATTATTTGATTGTTTWGTGGATTAGTATTTACAAATAATATATGACCATTTGAACGAATTATATACTCAATGAAATTACAAGCTCTTCGTAAATAAAGAAGTGTTCTTTCTAAATCAATAATAGCAATTTCATTTCGTAATCCGTACAGATATGGCTGAAAGTCTGGCTGCCTGGATCAATGTTTGTGACAACTCTGCTCGCCATGGACGATGCATGAACATGCGGCTGGGGCATGGCTGCTTTTGTCTGCGAAGACGTGCCTCCCTCGTTCTGGTACCGTCAGGATTGGGTGTTACCCATGCTAACCGAAGGCTCAGCCATTGTCAGAGGTAGAAGTTGATGATCTGTGAGGTATAAAGTACCATGAACAAACTATCTGGAATCGGTTTCAACATTCGCGTGTGGAATGAGCTTCTTCTCCTAGTTGATGATTCTTGGATGATCCTTTGTTTATGTATGAGCTCGCACATAACGTAGTCTTGAAGCCACGACCTTGTCATTGTCCGCCATTTGGACGATGCCCAGCAGCTGATGCACATTATCATCTGGGTCTGAGTCTGAGTAGTTTGCATTGCGGATCCGTTTACACCTCTGCCGACGACATTTGGATTGTGAAATCCGTTTACAGCTCTGCTGACATGTGTATGGTCTGCGGATGGAAAATGACAGGTGTTGCAAGCGGCGAATCTGGGGGATAGTGGGTTCATTCTGATAAGGAAGGGACGGACGGTCTTCAAGTCTCCGCCTCAACAGCATTCTTTCAACTTTCCGTACCAGCTAGGCAGTGGCGGGAGCGATTCCCCGGAATCTGCAGAGGTGAGGAGGGATATGTGGTTATCATTTGGATGTTTCAAGGCTCTGGCCGCTTGTTCTGTCTGAGGGTGCGTGTGCATGACGGCTCGGATGTTCAATCTCTCACTAATATCGTGTTGAGACCGCTTTTGATTCGAGTTTCTCATGCTCGTGCTGTGGCCATGCTGATCGTTCCCGTATTGCTCCATCTTTCCCGAATGCCCTTCATGTGTGCTCCTAAATTCCGCTCCCCTTGCCGAACCCAAGCAATGAAGGCTGAGACAGGCCAAAAAAAAGAGAGAAGAAAAAAAAAAAGCCTCAGACAGAGCAGAGTCATATCTTCAAGCACCAGCAAGAGAACAAGCGAAATGCATATCAAATGCAAAGAGTACGCAATCCAAAGTAAGTCTCGAAATCGACGAAATATGCATGAACTTACCGAAACCTCCTATGGAAACGCTATTTCAAAATTTTGACTGATTTCAAGATGGTACCTACAAGCGATATCAGAAATCATAAATTTGTGTGGCTCGTGGACTGGCATATCTCCCATAACAAAGACTAGGAAAATGCTTTGCAATCTACCTCTGTTCCTCGCTCACAGCGTTGTTCACATACCGACACATGTAGCGCTCTGCACATCAGCATTACATTGTTCAAGTGAGACGTAAACCCCCAGACACCGGTGCAGGGAGCGCAAAACGCCTTCCGTTGCTGCCTTATTATTCGGTCCTTCTGAACGGCTCTATGCCTGTGTATGTATGATAAGGTGTTCTATACAAATACAGCTACCGCACATGCGCTTTTCTCAAAGTACTGCTGGTGAAAAATGCCTTCAGAGAAAAGGAGCCAGCGCTGCCTCGGAGCTTCTTGCAGAGAGCCCCACTGTTTCCCCCTCTTATATCTTTTCAGTCTGGCGTCTTGTCACGTGAAGTTCATGGATGGCAAGTTTTTCAGTTTTAGCAGTTCCATGTTTGCTTGTATCGGTGTAGTCAGTAGTACCTATCCTGCGTGGGAAAATAGGGAAAACTGGCTGTTTTCCCAATCGCCTGAATTTTCGGAGGTCGGGCCCGACGACGACTGCCATTGATAAATCTGATCGGCGGCCGTCGTTTCGTTTCGGCCTCCGAAACGGTCGGAGGCCCACCGGAGGCCCACTATTTTCCAAGCGGCAAAGGTACTAGTGGTGCATGAAACGCAAATCTGTGAAGAGCTTCACTGTGGTGCCATCATCGTTTGGTATTCGAAGCCGTGGCATCTTGGCTATACGCTTTGTCGGTTCTCTGAAAGAAAAAAAAAATAAAAAAAATTGGAGGAATGTTGAAAGGCTGAATTATTGTTGGGAGTAAGATTTGCGTTTTTTAACTTTTTTTGCCGTTTGCACCTCTTGTTGTTGCGTGCACACGTACAGATGTATGGTATCGCAGTGGCCCCTGGAGATGTTATCATTGTTGGTACTGATGGACTATTTGACAATGTCTACGACACTGAGCTCGCAACGGTTGTGATGCATTCGATTAACTCTGGGTGGGGACCACAAGACACAGCACAGAGGATAAGCGCGATCGCCCGACTGCGTGCTCAAGACAAACATCGACAAACTCCGTTTGCGAGAGCTGCCCAAGAGGCAGGGTATAGATACCAGGGCGGGAAAATGGACGATATCACGGTGATTGTATCCTATGTGACAGAGAAAGAGAAAGAGAAAGAGAAATCTGGAACGACACCGCAGGAAGAAGTGGGAGATACTACGTCAGATAGTGACAGTGGTGGTCCTGGACTTAGTGGGTGAAGTTTTGATCGGATGGTTAGTGGGAAGAGTAGAGGGTGACAGAAGTGACTTTCACAGCACGGCAGGGACGAGGCTGGTAGTGCGGACTCAGATGGAAACCGCTGTGTTTGGTATCGTGTGGCAATGATGGCGAAAGTTGGCATCGTCGACTCGTCGTAGAAGTGGATCGCGGATGGATTGCTCAAGTCATCTGTATCTGTGGTCATGGACTCTGCGGGATGCAGGGTAGGTCAGTGTAGCTGTTGTTCTGGGTGTAATTTTCAGACCCCATCCTGCTGTTCATTTGTTAATGAACATGAGAAAAAGGGGTATATAGACCAGTTACGGAAGGTCGAAGTAGCGCGTCAAGAAACCTGATCTGGTCTGTTATTGCTACCTCAGAAAAGGGGTCTTGCAACTGACAGCAGTGGGCAGAAAAGGATTAGATAGGCAGTACAGCGTACTGTAGAGGAAAAAAAAGACACGCCGGCGTATGAGATGGGAAGGAATGGAGCTGCCTCTTTTCTTGCTCGCAAGGTTTATTCTTGCCTTGGGCGCGGAAACGCTTCTGTTGATCTAAAACCATTTTGTCATTGGCCCTTTGCCCTATAGGTGCACAACACTTATTTGGGGTTGGGTGTCGTTGGTCGTCTCGACGAAGGTTCACAATTACTACTATTATTATGGTCTAAAAATCAATTGTTGTTGTAGTCGTTCCCACGTCCTCCTCTCTGGCTCACCTACTTCTTCTAGCTAACTCGTCTCTTGCTCGCACGCTGCTTGTTCATGCACGCCCCGCCTGCATGTTCCGGTTTGACTTATTGGTGCTGTAGATTTGAGGATTGATGTGTTACCAAGCACAGGCCTTCTGCTCTACAGAGTGCTCGGCAGCAGTCGTCTGAATGGTGGTGGTCGTAGTGCTGTGGACTGACTATGTTGCGAGGTTCACAGTAGCTTCTGGATTCACGGCTGTGTCCTCCTTAGTTTCTGCTTTCATGATTGTGTCCTAGTTCCACTCTTGTCCATAGCTTGAGCTTCGGCGCCAGCATACATGCGTGCGAGTTATCTGTCGGACTGACTATGTTGCGAGGTTCGCAGCCATGCCCCAGGCATAGCTTCTGGATTCAAGGCAGTGTCCTCCTTATTTTCTGCTTTCATGATTGCGTCCTAATTCCGCTCTTGTCCATAGCTCGAGTTTCGGCGCCAGCATACATGCGTGCGAGTTATCTGTCGATTATCGCACTTGTCTTGGGAGACACGCCTCTCGAAAGGATCGCAATTCGTGTTTAGCATAGGAGTTTGGCGGAAGGGGTTCGTCCTCGCAGCAGTTGAATCGGGCGCTGAAGTAGATACGTGCTGCATTTGTGTTGGATATCTCTACACTGGTAATCCTCTTGGGGCTTATGTAATCCTCTGCGTGGATTGTTTGGCAGGGGCCCTGTGCGCAATTTAGCTTGTTGTGTGCGTCGGATGGAGTGGAGCGGAGAGGTTGCCAATGGATGGATGCCTGCAGGTCTACCTCTCTTCAGCGGAGTGTACTATTCTCTGGGCTTGTGCGAGGAGTTTGCTCACAGATCAACTCAACTTGTACAGCTCTACATTCTTGAAGTGAAGGGAGTGTAGTATTGTACATCGCGGTTGTTCTTGGGGCTCGGGGTGAGAAAGGTCTCAGGTATACCTGAGTGTTAGCTTGGTGCACTATGTGCTGCGTGCATGAGTAGCGGGTAGATTGGATGGTCGACTGGGCAAGTGGGTGGGGAGCTATCAGGTGGGGGAGCAGCGATTGCTCCATTGCTCCTGCCACCTTGGGCTCTGCCGAATTGCGATCGCTACACATCTTTTTGAATCTTCAATGACTTTAAATTTGTGCAGCATGATGATGTGAAGCTCGAGCATGAAAAAGCGAAAAGGAAAAGGTTTGTCAGTGGATGTGGCCTATATGACAAACTGAGGACTCAGCAAGTTTCATCCTCTTGGGAAGTTTTCATCTTCTTCTTCTGTAGATCTGCGCTGGTCCTCCTCACTCAGAAGGTTCCTAGCAGATTGGAGTCAGTCAGATCTTATTGTGGATGGGAGGCAGGTGGTATGTGATCCCAGGCAGGGCCATAATGTCGATGGTCTGATCAGGCCTTTGTGGGCTAGCCCCATCTCTTCTGATACTAGGGTGACACATTTGCGGTTGCCAATGGAAAGGCGGACGCATCAGGTTTGATCATGATCTTGAGAATCTTCCTTCCAAACGTCAAACACTGCTTCAAAAGGTTGGTGTATGGAGAAGCTTGTATTCAATTTGTTGATGTGGAGAATTGCACGTGGCCTGAGTGGGGAGCGTGGACGGACTGGTGCTGGAGCGTGGACCGACTGGTGCTGGAGCGTGGACCAACTGGTGCTGGTGGGTAGGAGTGGGTGGGCAGGAGAGTGGAAAGGTCTTGGGGATTGTAGGGTCTAAAGCGTATGGGGTCGACCTGCGGTTTTCTTGCATGGGGAGTAAAGGCTTTGTGGCTGGTGCAAAGCTCGCTGTCTGCCTGCAGTGTGTTCTTGCATGGGAACTGAAGACCCCCTGGCTGACTGGCTGGCGTGGACCAGTGCACAGCGATGTGAAGAACTCTCTGCGTATTTGTGATGGTGTTTGCACCCCTTGGCCACACACGCCTGCTTGGAATCGCAGAAGGCAGAGAAGGCTGTCGAGTCCGGTGCTGCATGGAAGCCCTGATGGAACAGGCGATGCGAGGGGAGGGAGGTGGGTGGTGGTACAGGAGCAGCAGATGACAGAAAACGAGGACAGTGAAACAAAAGTACTACTCAGCAGACAACGAAGCACAGGGAATGAAAAAGCAGTGGGCATGGTTGCGAGTCTGAAGGCCAACCTGAACTCCGACCGATGACACAGGAGGGAAAGGACGTACTCTTGGCGTGTCTGGCGATGCGGATCACTCAGATGCAATGGGCAAGTGTCTTGTTCCTTTCACACACACACACACACACACACACACACACACACACACACACACACACACACACAGAGAGACAGAGAGAGAGAGAGAGAGAGAGAGAGAGAGAGAGAGAGAGAGAGAGAGAGAGGTCAGGGAAGGAATTAGGGAGGTAGTGTGGGAAGGCTCGCTGCGGAAATGGTTTGGGCAAATGTTTCCTTTCTTCCCTTGAGGGTCGGAATGACTGCTACAAGAATCACGAGTGATCATGCGAGCAAGTGCTGCCAGCGTGAGGAGTATCTGTGCCCTGAGACGCGTGGCTGTCCTTTTGAGTTTTGACAGGTTTTTCGGGTCGCCGATATCTCGTGTGCCTTCTGTGCGTAATTGGCATTCTCTGGAAGCGAGCCGGTTTATTTCCTGCCCGCAGTTTCGCTGCAGTGACTGGCTGTGGTTGTCAGTTGGTTAATAATCCAATTGGATCGGGGATGTTGTTTGTGTATAGGCTAGGCAATTCCCCCAACCGCCTTCCTCTCTCCTCCCCTCTTACCCCCCTCCATCTCCTGGGTTATTTTCAAACCATCTGATACTCTCAGCTGCAGAAGCTGATAGGGTGCAAAGGTCTGGAAGCGGACGCGGAAACGAGGGAAGGGATTTAGTTCTATTAAGTGACATTTGACGATGTATATGCCGTACAGAAAGTCTAATTTGATATTTGTCACAGTTGAGCTGTGTCGTCGGTCGGGCGAAAAGCATCAATCTTGGGGGGGTGAATAAGGTGGGTGAAAGTTTGCGATGGGGGTTGAGTGGGGTCAAGCGGGGCTATTTAGTATGTAGCATCCTTTGGGAATGTTGGATGTGGCAATGGGATAAAGTAGGTGGATAGGTGGACATGGTATTGGGGAACGAAGTTGGGGGGAGGGGGGTGTAAGTGGTGAGAGAGAAGAAGGGTTTATGAAGGGGTTGGTACTACTTTTTATTAATATGTTGCTAGACTGCTAGTTTTGCTTTTTGTGTTAATCGGAATCTGTATAAAGTGTAGAAAGTAAGAATTATTATCATTGTTTTTATTGAATAAAATCCGAATAAATTGATTGTCGATTTCGGCTTGCAGCCTTGCAGGTTGATTTCTCAGAAAGAATGACGTGTGTAGTTGTTATGGCGGGTATGAAAGGGGTTAATTAAACACAAGAGAGTGGTAGTTTATGTATTCAATTTTTATGGAAGGTGGGGCTTCCAGTCAAATTACCGTAACCTTTTCATGCGATCAGCATGTCCCATTTCCAATGGATGCATGATCAACTTCCTTAAGGGGAAGCCTCATGAATTAACCTCTGTATGTGTATTTTTTAGCCCCTCAAAGAAGTGGCGCCTGCCCCTGGAACCCCACCCCCGTGGACCCCCGCCCTGCCCTGGACCCTTTCCCCCGAACCCCACCCCGCGGAGCCCTGCAGGCACCCCCGACCCCGCCTCTTGCCGACACCCGGCGCTGCACCCCACCAAACCCCGGCAGACCCGGCACCCCGCCAAACCCCAAACCCCAAACCCCGGCCCTGGCCCCGACCCCCGGCCACTGCAACCCTGCTCTGCCCAACCCCGGCGCAGACCGGAGCCACGCCCCCGTGCTCAGACATTCCCAGCCCCAGCACCGGCACCCCCGCCCCAGACTCCGGGCCCCACTGGAACACCCCGGTGGGGTGGGGTGGGGTGGGGGGGGAACCCTGGGGGGGTATTTTTCCGCGAAAACGCAGAAAGCGCCAGGGGGTGCCTGGCAGCTGTGTGCACCCCCCCCCCCCCATTTTTTTTWTTTTTWTTTTKWTTWTTTTYTTKAWTKTTTTGWTTTTTTWTTTTTTTKCCCCTCCCGGACCGGGGTCGGGGACCCCCGGGGCTAGGGCTGTGACAACCCTGGCGCTGGCATTGAGATATTATCATTGAACTAACTTGCCCCAGGTAATTCAGAAATTTCTGGTCATCTGCTCTTTTGTCGGGATTCGAACTTGGGTGTGTATTTCGACAGTTTGTGGGTGTACCCGCAAACTGAGCCAGGCTCGTTACTGTATTTCGACAGTTTGTGGATATCTGTTCGTCCTCCTTTTTCCTTTTCGCCCCCGCCTCATCTATTGACAATTTGACATTTACCCAGAGAGTCTGGTGATTGGCATATGTGTGAGAAGTGTGGGCTTGCGTTGTGATTGGCGGTCCAAGGTTCAGTTGATGTGCTGAATTGTGTCGATAACTTTGTGCTCCCTTGCAGATGCTGCTCCTATGTCTCCAGGCACAATTTTTCTTCCTCCAAAGAACTAAAAAAAAATCAATTCCAATGGCTAATCAATTCCAATGGCTGCTCTTTCTTCTTCTTCTTCTTCTTCTTCTTCTTCTTCTTCTCTTTGTTTCAGTGGCTGCTCTTCCTGAACTGTGTGTGGTGACTTTGAGGGAATTCTCACCTGTGCCATGGTTGTGCTCAACATAATTAGATTATTATATAATTATCAATATGGATATTTGATTTATTGTACATATTATATTGTGATTCAGAGACTAACAGAAAATGCATGAAACCGGTTGGGAACAATGGGCAGGTTTGTACACGCAGCAATTAGTACACGGCTAGCTCATGGCTTCTGATAGATGAAATGGTTTTGCCCTGGAATCAAATATGCATGACCAAGATCCCCTCTGGCCAGGCGAAACGACTTATACCTGCTGCGAGTGAAATCAATGCTTATCGCGTGATGGAAATGCTTCTGCTTTCTACAGGTGTGTGTGTGTGTGTGTGTGCGTCTTCTTTTTCTCCCTCTGTTTTTCTTTTCTTAAAAGGGAGATGGCCTTGAGCTATCATTGCAGAACTGACCAGCCGCAAATAATTCAGAAATAGTTTTTTGATTTCAGTTCATCTTATTGCATCTAGATTCGAACTAAGATATGTATTTCAAACGTTCCAGCAACTTCGTGATTTTTTGAGGGCCTAGTGTGAGTAATGAGTATATACTCTCACAGCACCTTTTACACTGTACGGAATTTCTCCAAGGATGTAGGCGCCTTGGATGGCAGCGGGAACAGACTTGTGCGCAGACCCGGAACAGGCCTCCTCCTTTTCCGTTACCGGGAAGGCTCATCTTCGGCGCGAAAACTTCCTGCTACTATCCAGTTGCTCAATTATAATTATGACGGTCCCTAGGGTCATCCACAGCAGGCCTGGAGTGTTGTCCACTAATCGCTGTCCACTGTCCATCGTAGCACTGCCGGTTCCCTTTGACCCTCACGTTTCCACCCACTTAACGTGAGCAGTGAAGGCCCTCCCTCGTATCCATCCACCTACTCGGAACCAACCCCTGCATGCATCTACAGAGAGTCTAAATTACACCTACGTCCACTTGTACACATCTTATCCCATGCCCAATTAGCAAGCAGGCCTGTACCAAAGGCAAGGGAAGTGTTCAAGTCCTGCCCACGTCCTATTCGAATTGAGTAGAGCCATACTACAAACAATCTCTCTCAGACACACACTCCCCTTACTTGGTCCAAAATACTCTGATGGTAATTCAGACTAATTCTGTATTGACTCTTGAGCAATTGTCACAGGGGACACTGGGCCCGCTTCCCAGCAGGTGCTGCTCCCCACCAATAGATGGAGCCACCCCTGGACAGCTTGAGGAGTCTGCTCCTACCAGCATCTTTTTTTTTGCTTTTTGAACCACCACAGGAGGCACGTCCAGGCAGCCTCCCAGCCTCCAAGTGTTTGCAGCATTCCCATTGGCTCGCGGCTTATGTGTGACGACAAGGCTGCTTTCCCATGGCCTCGCGGCCAGTCCGTGATGTGTAGGCCTCACGCAGCGTGTGCCCAGGGCACAACCAACTGAGCCCTGGGCTCAACTGTACAGCACAGCCCTTTGCTTCTGGAAGGAGCCTGGGGGCTCACTTTGCATTGTAATTTGCAACCAACTGGCGTGCTGCAACTGTCTGAGTACCCATGTACGGAAAAATGTCAAAAACAGGCCTCATGGCAATATTCAGGCCCACCTTCACTTAGAGCGGGCACTGGCTTGCTGGGGGCCGCAGCCCAGAACACTTGTATGTCTGTAAGGGCCCTGTGACTCGGAGGGCTCATTCCTCGTATTTGTCTGAACAAAAAAAAAAAAAAAAAGGGAACCATCTGGATAAACCAGCGATAGATGATGGCGAATAACAGCGCCGAGCTGGCCAAGGAAAATGAAAGGGAAGCTAGGCTACCAGCCGGGCCGCCCGGGACACCCTGTTTTCCCGGGCGGCCCGCCCGTGCAAGGACCAGGGAAGGTCCCAGCCAAAACAAAAAACAAAAAACGCATTCCAAAAAGTAAAAAAACAAACAATGTTATGCAGAAAAATATAGTGAACACTGAACAATGTTTGCCTCAGGGTTACAACAGTGGGGGACGATGAGAAAGGGAGGCGCAGCTACTGGCAAAACGCTCGGTTTTTGTGTTAGCCAGACCCCCGCCGGGACCCCACCCCATCTCTGACTACCGCTGTTGGGGCAGGGGGCAACATGATTCACCTTGTTTGTGAGGCCCTATGCTCCCCTCTATATAGTCTTATGAGTAGTGGTAGCAAGGTAGTGAAAGGCAAAAAGAATTTGAGAGAAGAATATAGTGTAGGTTTTGCTAAAAAAATAACATCTTTACCAAATTTAAAATAAAAAATAAAAATAAACAGAAAAATAAAAAATAATTTAAAATATTTTTATTTTTCAATTTTGTTTTGCCCGCGGTCCGGGCACGTGGTCTCGGGCCACTCGGGTAGCCTAGAACGGAAGGCAATAAAGTTAAATAAACACTCGTTAGAGTCGACGGGTGCGCTTAAACCACTAGTACCTTTCCCGCGTGGGAAAATAGGGGAAACTAGCTACTCCTGAAAATTCGGAGGCCGGGCCCGACGACAAACGAAACGACTGCCATTGATAAATCTGATCGGCGGCTGTCGTTTCGTTTGTCGTCGG